GGGAAAATGTAGAGCAAGAAGCTTGAGGAGAGAATATTTAGGAATATCTGTTTCAAAGAAATAGGTAAAGGATGGTGCACTTCAGGAGACAAGGAGAGACTGGTATTATGGATGCCATTGGGGGGAAATTTTTTTGTTTAGCTAATGCTAATATGTTATTGTACTTTTTTGCACTTTTTTTTCCACACACAAATTATTGTAATAAATTTAGCCACATGGGATATCGTACATGTTTTCTAACATTATATTTCCACTCAACCTTATATCATTTATAGTTTTTTCATGCCACTAAGTAGTCTTAAAATTTTCTAAAATATATTTTTATTAATTTCAGAGAAGAAGAGAAAGGAAGATAGAGATAGAAATATCAGTGATGAGAGAGAATCATTGCCTCCTGCCCACCCCACACTGGGGATGGACCTGCAACCCAGGCAGGTACCCTTGACTGGAATTGAACCTCGCACCCTTCAGTCCGCAGCCAATGCTCCATCCACTGAGTAAAACTGAGTAAGGTTAAAAAAAATTAATGGCTGCTTTTAAAATATTCCATCGTAAATAGGTACCAGAATAAATTTATTTTCTTTTATTTTGGATCTTTAAGTTGATTTCTTGTTTGGAGTTTTAAAAACACGCACAGTACTTCAATAAACATTCTAGTACTGAAATAAATTGTATGGCTTACCAATGATTTTCCCAGTATAAATTCCTATAAATTGAATTTTCTTGGTCAAAGTGCAGGAAAAAAAATTTAAGGCTCTCAAATTGCCTTTTAGAAATACTTTTTTCTACCCAGCAGTGCATGAAAATAATGAGACATATATACTGAACATAATTTTTTTATAAACGTAAAGAAAAAACTGAACATCATAACTATCAGAGAGGATCTGTTTTTTAAGATTGCTTTGACTGCCACTCAATTGCAATTGCCTGTGAGCACTTTGCTATTTTTAATTTAAAAATTATTTTAAAAAATGAAAATTGTGTATACTTAAGGTGTACAACATGATGATTTGATATATGTATCCATAGTAAAATGATTACTACAGTCAAATTTTGAAGGAACGAGGGAAAGTCAACAATAGCAAAATACCTCACAGCAGCATAGGAGGTTGGAGATTGTTGATTCTGGTGACTACATATCCATTGGTGACTGAAAAGTAATTTTCTTTGAGGGGAGGTAACAGATACCAAGTTATAGTTCCTAAATCCAGAATTTTATCAAATTTTTTTATTTTGTCCACTTATTTTGCTTCCTTTGAAAAATCTTGTAGTTTTGAAAAAATGTATATATAGGAAAAATATTTTTTAAAATCAATTTGTTTCTACTTTTTCAATGTCAATTTCTAAAACTTAAAAAAAGAGTGACCACTCTTTTTTTAAGTTTTAGAAAATTTGTGTTCTGAGAGAGAACCAGAGAGACAGAGAAAGAGAGGAGAGAGAGAGAGAGAGAGAGAGAGAGAGAGAGAGAGAGAGAGAGAGAGAGAGAGAGAGATGGATTTGTTTTCCCACTTATTTCTGCATTCTTTGGTTGATTCTTGAATGTGCCCTAACCAAGGACTGAACCCGTACTCTGACGAAGTGAGTTATCTATCCAGGGATCATCACCACTTTTTTTCTTCCATTTTTCCTCTAACTATCCTCCCTCAATTATTTCCTGTTTGAAAGCTTGGGTTGGAATTTTTAGATAGACATCTTCATAAATGATGCTACAGAGACAAATCAGGGATAGGCTGTTATGTGTATAAAGAAAAAATAAGCCTTTGGATTGTGTGTGGACTTCCATAAATATCAAAGTTGATTTTTTATGTGTGGTGGGAATAGCATTTAATGTCACTGTTTGAGTCATGGAATGGATGTCTGTTGAGCTCATTAATGTCTCTCATTCAGAGAACCCTTTATGGACATCCACTTTATAAGTTTATTACCATTCGTGGGAAAATATTTGACCCAAATACTCTCTGCTCCCTGTGACATGAATCATAATTCTATCACAGTGAGCTGTTCCTTTTCTCAACCACAAATATATATAATCCAGTCATTCCAAAGACACATAAATCCTGTTATTTCTTTTATAGACTCAAACTTGAGCATGAATCTTTTTTGTTTCTTTTTCCTCTTTTTTATTTCCCCATTTGCCCCAACCCCATTTTTAACAAGATATCTGGTCATAAAGCTTAGTCATCTGGGAAAGTTTAGATTGTTCATAATTCTGAAAAAGAACTTCTCTAATTCTCTTGGGATGATGCATTTTTAGGAACATCTAGGAAGCCACATGGGTGACTGAGTGGATGGGCTGATTTCTTAAGTTCTCTTGAATTGGATGGTTCAAAGGAAGACTCCTGGTATCCTTGTACTGTATGATGTTGGGATAATAAAGTCCACATACACTGACTTAGGAGAAGTTGTAAGGTAAATTTACCTTATAACATTTCCCCCAAACATTGATAGATCTCCTGGAAGGAGAATCTCAAGTTCCTCCAAAGTTCCTTTACACTTATCCCTGGTGACTCTTGAACTATTTCTGGTAGAATCATGACCCAAAGGTCTGATGCTTCCAGTGAAAAGGTTCAGGATAAAACTACTATCTAAGCAAGTATAATTTCTATTGCTTTTCTGACTCCTTCATTGAAGAAACATAATTCCAGGACATAAAGTTTACCTTTTGAGTACCCATTAGAATTTCATTATATGTCAAAGCCATGTGATTTTAAAAATAAACTAGAAATGTTTGGTGAGATATGTTCTTCAAAATATTTCTTCATGAAACATGTTCTGACCTTCAATGAATTCATAATCTATGCAACTCTGTAGATAACCTACTGAATGTGGATTAGCTAAAGTTTCACAAAGACTTGTATTGCAGACACATATTTTACTTTAGATTAAATAAGACTTAACAATTCCCCCAATATACAAATAATAAGAAATTAGCTAAGACTATCTCAGTCAAAACAGGAAAATTCAATTGAAGTGAGATACTTGTGATATATTTAGACTCATAGGAATGATAATTAGCAATAAAATAATTCTTCTTGGTTTAGAATATCTAGAAAGTTGATTGCTGTAAGAAAGAGCACAGATGAGGTTCACTGGACAAGCATTACTGTTTGGGTCAGACAGAATTCAATTATGTCTTTTTTTTATATTAATGCCATGAAATAATATCTAAACAGGTAGTTAATTTGGGTGTTGTAAAAATGGCTCAGTGATTGAGCAGCAACTTATGCCCCAGGAGGTTATGGTTGGATTCCTGGTCAGGGCATATGCCCGGGTTGTGGGCTCGATCCCCAGGGGGAGGTTTGCACGAGGCAGCCGATCAATGATTCTCTCTCATCATTGATGTTTCTATCTTTCTCTCCCTCTCCTGTCCTCTCTGAAATCAATAAAAATTATATATTCTTTTAAAAATGGCTGGGACAAGAAGGTAAAAGTCATCATGCTCCCTTATGAAAGAGAAGTAAAAACACTATAAATTATTTCATAAACTTCCTGTTTACTGCACAGATAATGCAAAAAAACATAGATTAAAAACTTGAGAAATATGTATTATGCAAATTTATTTAGCATAAATAGCCTGAAAACCACAATATGTAAAATAAGTAAAAACTGTTTTATTGCAATAACACCTGCTGATTGCTGAAACTAGTTTGGCTCAGTGGATAGAGCGTCCGCCTGCTGACTGAAGGGTCCCAGGTTCAATTCCGGTCAAGGGCATATACCTTGGTTGCGGGCACATCCCCAAGTAGGAGATGTGCAAGAGGCAGCTGATCGATGACTTTCTCTCATCGATGTTTCTAACTATCTCTCTCCCTTCCTCTCTGTAAAAAAATCAATAAAATATATTTTAAAAAAACACTTGCTGATAAATGTATTTGAGAATAATTTATGTGCTCAATTAAATATATCTAAAACATATTATAACAATCATTTTCTTATTTAAAATATGAAGTATTATTACCATGCCAGTTAGAATAATAAGTATTTTTTCCTTAAGTTAAAAAATGGTGTCACTAACATCAGACATCTCTTTGGGTTGATTTTTCATTTGTGGTACTAAATGTTGTGATGGTTCTTAACGAAGACCATTATGATCAGTATCTCCAATGCACAACAGAGTTGGAAGATTTTTTTTTACAGTTATTGTGACTATGTAAGTTTTGAACTGATGATGGTAGCATTATCATACTTCATTTAACCAGTGGGCCTGGATTGTTCCAATGTCCATTGGTTTGAGAAAAAATTGAATCCGTGGGCAACCTACCTGTTATCATGGAAGCAGAAATTCTTTTCTGCCTTTTTTGTCATCTTTAATCTCAACATGACAACATAAAATATTTTGATTTGTTGTCTTGCATACACATTTATATTGACAGAGAGAGGATCCCTTGGCCTGCATTACTTACTGTTTTTATCTTTTCACTTCTTTTGCCACTAACCACGCATATCATTGCATTAAGATGCCTCCCTTTTGGACCTTGTCCTCTTCAGTTCCAGGCCACACAGAATCATCAGCATGATCTTTCTCAAATACTGTTGTGATGCTTTCACCTCTATTAAGAATAGTTAGTAACTTCCTAATGCCTGTTGTATCCAAACTCAATGATAGTATAAAGTTTTTACTGTTACCATTGCATGCATATCAGTCTAATGAGGCCTTCCTTCTTGGTTGTTTTTCATATGTGTGTTGTGTCTACATGGCACCTTTTATAAGCTGTAGGGAAGGATCTTTATATCTGACATTCCCACATTTCCATAACCTGACCTCCCCATCTCTCATCCCAGAACCACAACAGCTCAAACTCTACCTTTGTGCACAGACATGCCTAATACATATTTGATGACTGAACTACATTCTAAATATAGAATTATTTATATGCAGAAGTATCTATACCAGAGAATGATAACATCTCTGCCTCAGCAATGGTTCTGTGGATTTTAATTGTACAGACAGAATACAAGCCCTATCACTCACCAATCCCATAGACACCCAGCAAAATGCCTTCATATCACCAATTGTTTGAACAAGAAAACATTACATTTTGCATATTTACATGTAATTGATTAACTGAGACAATGTTACAATGCTGTATCTCTCTCCAGACTTAGAATGACTTGGTTTTCTAAATATGTAATGTACTCTTATTTTCTAGATCCTAGAACAAATTGGCATATTTTGTTACCTACCTGTTATGTGAAATTTTAAACAAATCAGGAAAAATATGGATGGATTTTTCTACATTTTATAATGTAAAAGTAAGCAAATATCTTGGCATTGTTAATATAAAGGGAGACAATTATTACTTTCACATCGCCTTTGCAGCTTGACCTTTTATTCGTACCTCCAAGTTGTTAGCATCTCAAATGTCCTTGCATTTCAAACTATTTCAAAACTTGTCTTTCCATAACAATTTTAATTGAATCTCCTGGGATGCCATTTTAATCATGGTAATCAGCCACAGCATATAATTAGATTTCCATCAGAGACGCTAATGCTATGGAATAATATGGGAGTAGATGCATAAAAGTTACATCTAGGTGGGCTTCTTCTCCTGACCTCCCCCTTTCCCACGCAAGTGCACTTAAAAAGGTTGGTAATTAATCACAGAGAGCAGAAGTTGCTTTCACTTGTTTCACACGACGTGGAAAGTGTTGTCCAGGGCAGCTAGACTTTTCACTAAGGCCATTACTTCCCTTATGACCAACCAAAGAAAACAGACTTATTTGTAGAATGACTGCTTAGGGGTGAGAGTGCACCCTTTGGTCATGCCAGAGACTGAAGCTCTGGGGTGTGGCTGGCATGGGTGAGGTGGGGGGCACAGGTGAGGAGGAACAGTGAGAGGGCTCCTCCGTAGCCCACATTGCTCTACTCCACTGCGTTACAGGTCCTGAATTACCAGCAGTGAGTTATTCCTTTTCAGTTATTAATATTAGATTTCTTTAAAGCCTGCTTTTATGTCTTTCCATTAATCATCTATGTAATTTTAGAAGTCAAAATGCATGAGGCTCAGAGCTAATTATGCATTCTATTATGCCTTTAGATATCTGGATGAAAGTCATGTTCCAACACTCAATCCCTTCCCTAAAACTAATTTCCACAAGTGATGATTTAATGATCTATTTACTTTAAAGGTTTGCCTTGGGGACAATGATTATTCTGGTAGCTAGCTTGAAAGAATAGACATTTTCTCTCATGAAATATGTAAGTCTTTAGAAAAATTATGTGGGCTTTGAAAATACATTTAATAAAACATGTTTTGACTATCCCCAGGTAGAGAGAACCCATTATATTTATATAGCGTATCAGAGCCATTGGTTAGCCACGGGAAGCAACGAGCTGTGGAAGCAGTGTGGATGAGGGCAAATTGCAGTTTTGTTTTTCAAAGCCAGGATGTATGAGTGGAAAAAGAATGATAAAATGACAGAATCCTTAAATGTGCTGATTGCTGATCAGTTTTCCCGGATCACTGTTTTATTATTCATATCACCATATGTATCACTAGCTTGCCAGGAGCACAAACATCAGTCTTATGTATGCCTTTTAATTTGATCTCTTAATTCCTTTTTATTCTGCAGTTTTGAATGACATCTGTCTTCAGTACCAACATCCATGACTTCTATGTACAGGTGCTCTACTTGGTTACAATATTCTCCTATTACTTCTAACAGCAGAGTGCAGTATTTTGCAAGCAGAGGTTCCTTTTGTGATTTAGTATATATTCATTTCTGTTAGTCTGTGTTTTTTTTTTTTTTTTTTTTTTTTATCTCTTATAATACAGTTCAATCAGAATGCCTGCAAAACCCTTCTGCTCTGAAGTTTACATTAATGTTTCCTAAAACTCAAGTCAGAGATACAACTTCAACCAAGTTCTGGATTTAGTGAGAACAAAAGCAAGGTGGATGTTAGGTAGGGAAGGACGGACCCCATCTAGATGTCGGTCTCCATGCCGGAGCCACATTTGCGGCAGAAGATTTCCTTGTCCTGGGTCAGGAAGCCTTCCCCCACCAAGGAGACCGAGCACTTCCCACAGTTAAAGCATTCGCTGTGCCACTGACGGTCTTGAAAGCAGATAAACTTGGCACCTCTGAGACCTGTAAAAAATAGAGAAAAAGAATAATCTATTCTTTCAATGAATAGATGGAGCATTCAATCGGGACCTCTTTTAGGAACTGGAGATGCAGTAAGATTACACTGAGGCAAGTAACTCCAAAAAGGAATGCTATCCCCATTGCTATGTATCCATCTGGGAATGTCACCCAGACAACAAATTTCCCAGAAGAGATCCAGTCGGATTCCAAGTGAAAGCTTTCTATTATCTACACAAATAGGTAGAATTTGGATATAAAAAGCACATAATTTTGGAAGCAGATAAGGACTGCTAAGCCAGGTAAGAAAATACAATAGTATACTGAGAATAAATATTCAAATAGAGATATCTTGTTCTTTTCTCTTGTTGTGCCCTTGCTTTCTTAGAGACAATATTTGTATAAAATAAAATAAAATAAAATAAAACTGTACTTCATAGCCTGATGTCTGGTGTTTTGATGACTTTTATTTCTCCTCCTTTTTCCACATTTAAATTTTACTTAGGATAAAGTTCTATGCTTATATTGTGGTTTGGAATACAATTTCCAAACGCCCCAAATCTAGACCTTTATCCAGATTATCAGGTAGCTAGCCTAACATAATGACCTCATTATCTTGCCCAGAGATAACTTCAGCTTGTGACAAAGATCTGTGGATCTGATCACTCTGAAACCATGCTATCCCATGATTAGCTTTTAAGAAGTGCCATGTCATCCTTCAACCTCTTGGGCCTCTCTGGAGCCATAGTGTTTGAAGAAAGGTAGAATTTGAGTCTTCAGTGGACACTCTCTCTATATCCTTAATATGAATCCAAGACAGAGTTCAAGGAATTGGTTTTGAGAAGTTGTAGAAAAGAAGAAAGGTAGGAATTGGAATATCCCTAAGCTTGGGTCTTTATTTATTTGACAAGTTTTGTTTTGTTTTTTTTTCAAGTGACCTTAATACTGTGAACTTCCTGTGATTTGTATTATAGAATGAGGCTAAAACAGTTCCATGTGCTTATTCACATACAATTTCAAAATAGTCCATTTGGGATGGTAAAGCAAAAAGAGTGAATAAGCATTCTATTTCAGATAAACTCTCCTTAATATTATAATGAACTTCTATTTCCACCCTAGAAACATTATTTGATGTCTTTACATATAATTTACTAATTCATAGATATATTTATATAAAATTATTCTACTTTCCTTGATTAAATAAATTTATAGCTTGCTATTTTTGATGCTATCATCACTTTCTAATAAGAGTAAATCAATAATGAACCAATTAATTCCTTTAATGTTATTCAAAACATTGATAAGTTGATTGCAAGAATGATGTTTTCTATAAATATAAATCATCTCTGTTCATAAAACTAATTATTACACACTTAGAATTGTGATGCTCATGAGGTTTTCTTGAGTTTATTAGTAAGCCTGTACAGTGACAAATGTAAAAACAATTCTAGAATTTGACAAAGAGGGGAAAATCAGGAGCATTTGGTAGCAGGAATTTAAGAAAGGCCTGACTGATCCTGTGATGTTTATAAATTGTTTCAATTTTAGATATGCTTACGCCCTCAGGCCATGAGGGTTGTCTGCAGTAAGAGAGTCATACAGGAAACAGGTCTCCAGCACTTGTTTTTATCTGGCTTCATTTACTTCAAAAAATTCAGTAAAATAAGAACTAACATTGATTGAACACTTAAAGATGAACCCATCAATATTCTAAGCTCTTTACATGTATGACTTCATATAACTCTCACCTCACCTTCATGGGGAAGATGTTATCACCAACCCTACTTTGTATACAGAAATTGACACAGAGGTTTAACTCTTTGCCCAAATCACCCAGCTTACAAGTGGCAGATTTGGATTTAATCCAAGGCCCCCTGGTTTCAGAGCCCATGTATGCTTTTAACCCCACTAAATTAAGCCTGAATTTATCTTTTGTAAAAAAACATAATCTGAAACATTAGCATCTCTTTCTGAAGAAATCATAATATTTGAAACCCCTTTTAGTTAAAATAAACAGAAGTGAAAGAAAGCTAAAATGTAATCCTGCTCAACTCCTTATTTTGAAAATAAGGCCAATGAGGACCTCAGAGGTGAATTGTTTACCCATTTTCACACAATGGTCAGGAGCAGAGGCAAGACTAAGGTATGTGACTTATTCTCTAGTCCAAAGTACTTTGCACTACACCAAGTTACTTCATTTATCCCCAAAAGTTTGAAAGGTTAGTCTTATCTTAGAGGAAGAAAAAATATATTTTTACATTGGGTTTGTTCAGATGGCTCAAATTTGTTATGATGGGGTTAAAATTTTTTACCAGATGCCTTAGAGATTTAGTTAACATAAAATAAAACATTCTAACATAGTTAGAATTTTTAAAACATTCTAACATAGTTCCTTACAGTGATATATTGTTTGCTTGAATGTGCAACTTTCAGAAGAGATGATAGTATAAGAATTCTCTATGGAATGTTAGTTCAAATAGCTCAATTTAAAAGAAGCACTACTCTAGGACATATATAATAAGTATAAGAATTAGATAAAAAAAATATTAAAGCAAGTTGGAAGTTTAGTACCTAGTATCTCTCAGTTACAGAGCCAAAAGGAGATTAAGATACTTATCAAAAGATGAGTTATTCTACATTAAATAGATAATCTTGGATTACTTTTGGGTCAAATCTCTGGTTCCTGATCATCCTTATGTGACATCCAGAAAACTGGTTTTTCTGTTTGAACCTTAAAAACTGAGTTCAGTGATCAACTTGCTACAATACATCAGAAAAAAATTTCCTAGACACATGAATCTGTTATGGATCAGAACTGAAACTGATCAAGTTCAGGGCTCGTGTAGGCTCTTTACAAACTAGTATTGGCCAGTTGGGTTCCCCCAAAGTCTTCAAATCTATTTTGAGTCATGTGATTTTCTAATTTTCTCATGGAAGCTTCCCCCCCACCCCCCCACCTTTTTTTTTTAAATTTTTTTATTTTTTGACTAGTTCCAGAAAAGTGTTCTAGAATAAGTCAACTGAATCTGTTGGGTTGTGATGGCAGACTCCACGAAGGAGATTTTGGAGCTCCAGGTACTATTACATTTCTATAAGACCGATTTTCTAGATAAAATCAGGGAAGATAATGGCTTTTTCTCTTAACTTCAGGAGTTGTCTGATGTGTAAACATTCATGAAGATTCAACTTTTATTTTGTGAAACATCTGAAGATGGAGGAGAGGGAGAGGGATACAGTAAACTTTAATTCCATGTTACATAAACTGAGCAAAAATATGAAATATTATCTAAGAATACTAGGCATGGAGAGTTCTCCCACATCATTCAGTGACTATTAATTACCCAGCAGAGTGATGCTTATATTTTCTGTGCTAGCCTTAGTTCTTTAACTACAGGGTAAGCATTTTAGAAGGGTCTCTGAGGAAAAGGCAATGCTTTGTTTGTTGCCTTGAAAATCTATATTTAACACAGATTGTTTACCACTTATGTTATTTTCAAATCACGCCATGTGTACTTTTGTTTCTGCGGCAGAATACTATCTGGTTTTATTTTATCTATTCATGATTAAAACTTAATGCATGGGAAAAGAGAATAGTACACTTGTTAGAAACATTTTAAAATGAAGTATAATTAATTCGTAACCTATGCTACCCTAATTAGTACAGCTTTGGGTTTCGGTACAATACTTACATTTAATTAAAACTTTTCCCATTTTTAAGGCCCTTTCATCCTTGTTTGGAATTAAGCAGGATTTTTATTTTCAAATATCCCTTCCTTCCACTCGAATCCTTAAAGGTCCAGCTCAGACCAGGCCTCCTCATGCAGGTGTCTATGTCTCAGCTCATTCTGTTCTCCTCTTCCTCTGAACTTTTCTTTTATTGAGAGTCGGTACCATTACAGTTAGCATTAATAATCCTCTAGATCAGGGGTGGGGAACCTTTTTTCTGCCAAGAGCCATTTAGATATTTATAACATCATTCACAGGCCATACAAAATTATCAACTTAAAAATTAGCCTGCTCCTCGTCTTCGGGGAGCACCGGGCGGCGTGTGGATGGAGGGAGAGACGGGGCTGCAGGCCTGAGGGCGCCAAGGGCTGGTGCAGGCCTCCCAGCGACGACCCCTGTCCATCGTACTCGGAGGGCCCCCTGGGCAGCCTTTGGCGGTAACAGCTCACTGCATTGTGTTCCCTGGAGGCCCCGCCATCGCCATCGGGGCCCTGGGTGCACCCGGCAGGGTGCGGGGGATCGTGGTGCAAGAAAGGCCTTTACTGGTGTCTCGGTGGGTAGAGCGTTGACCTGGGGACTGATTCGATTCCGGTCAAGGGCATTTGCCTTGGTTGTGGGCACATCCCCGGTGGGGTGTGTGCAGGAGGCAGCTGGTTGATGTTTCTCTCCCATCGATGTTTCTAACTCTCAATCTCCCATTCTCTGTAAAAATCAATAAAATATATTTTAAAAAAATTAGCCTGCTATATTTGGTCAAACATATACTTAACTCACCCCTAATGCCTTGACAAGGCCAAACCAAATTATTTCATTGGCCTTATACCAAATAATTTCACAGGCCTCTAGCACATAGCTACCCTAATTATAATCTATATTTGTGTGGAAGGGTCTGTGTAATAATAGTGCTTATATATTTGTGTCTATCTAGAAAAAAAAAACACAAGAGAAATATTAACTCCCCCCCCCTTTTTTTTCCCAGAGTGAACTATATAGCACTTACGTAGCCATAACTATCTCATGGAACGACTGTATTCAACTAAAGAACTCACCAGTAATGGGTTTAGTGCAGGCCACACACTTTTTGGCATAAAGATGGTTATAGCAGTCCAAGCAGAATGGATAATCATCTCTGGACATAAACTCTTCATCACAGAGCTCTTTCCTGCAGCCACTACACAGAAAACACTCTTTATGCCACGGCTGGTCATGAAATGTTATCCAACCCGAAGTTATCACCTGCCAAAGGATCACAAAAAAAGTAATGACCGTGGGAGCTGTGAGAATTCAGACCTTATGTGATTCTCCTCTATGTCCACAGGTGATTCTTTGGGCTACTTGGTCATGTGGTGTCAGGCTGTCCTTTTCCTAAGATTTTTTTGGATGGATATGAGAAGCAAAAGGTTATAGAGATATGAACTGGGGATACACATCCTAATTTTTCTCCCATAATGGAGCAGAAAGGAAACAGGGCTATAATGGACCCATAAAAAAATGAAAAGAAGTCGGCTGTTGATTTCTTTGCTTATCTTCCTATGACTTTCATGTTGGTCTTCAAAGAGCTGCCAGTAGATCTAACATATTTCCTATGCTCTGTTCTTATTTCCATGTTTGCCTTTTAAGGATGCAGAATAGGACACTTTTTTTCCTAAAGGCTTTCCTCCAGGCTCAAGAATATCCAGCAGTAACAGCCATGAATGGAATGGATAAGTACCATTCTCTGTTAGTAAGGAGCTAAACTTCTTAAGTGTTTTTTTTTTTTTTTCCAGCCCTGTGCTAAGGGGGTGGCCTCCTCTTACTATTCTCAACATGCCAATGCAGTTTTATCTTTCCCCCTTATGAGATGAGTAAGTACTTAGGAGTAGAATGGTTGTCCCTTGCCAGGGTCACACAGAGCTAGAGCTAGCATTCAAGCCTGCACAGTCTGATCCCAGAACCCATGTGCTTAAACATGAATACAATACTGAGGCAAGATAACATTGCAATGGTAATCAGTTGATAAGTCCTTATTGAATGAGTGAATAAACACCAAGGGGAAGAGTGTTTGGGAAGCAATTCCAATATTGTATCTAGCACAAGTGGGATACTGTGGGCAACAGTGAAAGTTTTCAGCTTTAAGACTCTAAGAGCACTGGTTGTACATTGACGTGTGATGTGCTAGACTTTTGTCGGAGATGGTTATTATTCCTCCATAATGTTTTTTTTTTTTCTATACCAGTTTGATCTTTGGGTTCTACTTTTTAGAAGGCAGAGACATCTTTCTTTGGGATAATAGAGGTAAAAACTATGTAACAATTTTTAAGTCATAGCACCTTTCAGAACCATGTCTATTGACCTGCAGTAGCTGTGGAACTTGGCATGTGTTCATGTAAATGTCTTAAAATGACTGAAGCAACGTTGTAGCTGAGATGGTTCTTATAATCTTTGTATTTCAATGAAGTAGATAAGCCATTAAAATGTTATTTGCCTGTAATATAGGGTTTTAAAATGATGTTTCTAAAGATATTTTAAAATATAACAAAACATCTTAAAAATTAAAGATATTATGAAGAAAAGTTATTGATCCTAAAAGGAAAAAAGAAAAGTATTCTAAAATAAGTAAACAAGAAACATGATGATGTGTGTGAACACAAGCAATTTCAAATATTCCCTACTGACTTGAAATGCCTTAGAGCAGGCACAGTGGAATTCACGATTCCTTTGATTTGTTTGGTTAAATGATTAGCAGGCAATGCTTAAAAGATTCAAACTTGAGAAAAATGTGTTCACAGCAAAGTAAAACTTGATATGTACAGCAAAGACTGTTTAATTAGGGAGAAGACACCCTGGGACATTAAAACAGATTGCTTGTGATCATGTCCCTTTTGAAGAGGCAGGTGGGCTAAAATGAAATCTAATATCTAAGCTCAGTTTTTGCCATTGATTGATGCCAGGATTTAGATCATGTTTCTTCTCTGACAAAGTGGAGGCAATAATGATTTTACATTTAGTATATGAAAGCTGATAAATTGCAGAATATTCTAGTTGAACCTTGAGAAGTTTGAATTCAAAGCACTTGTGGTTTGAGGTTACTTGCTGTTGGGTAGAAAACAAAATTTAGTTTCACAAAATAAAATTTCTCTGGAAAAAACTTCTAAGTGCCTGATTGCCAAGTAGTTTTGCCTAAGTTTTAAAAAATCTAATCTTGATTAGTTTGAAACAAATTGTTTTTCTTCAGGTAGGATCATTTTGATGAGAAATGTTTATATCCAGCTTTCCTTAAAGGACTTATGGCTTAAAAAATTAAATAGGAAATAATGTGGCGTGTCATGATCTGTCTACTATCCAATATAAACATTTCATACATTTTTAGTGACTTCAAGCCATGTCCTAAATATAGCAAAGGTTCCTATAACCTGGGAAATGCCAGAGGTTTGGCCCCAGACAGTGCTCAGCAGCTGATGTACTAGTGTAGTTCCCTTCTTGAATCTTTACAGTATTCGAACAAACTTTATATTGTGTCCCCAACAGATGACATTAAGATAATTCCCATAAGTCTCATTATTATTTTAAAATAAATCTTTAAGAAACAGTAAAAAAAAAAAATGGCTAACTTTGTTGCCCCTCAAAGTAGTGAGATAGATCTATTCATTTTTATTTCCAACATCTGTTTCTAAATGTATGTTATTGACAATTCTTTGGAGCTTCACATGTTACAGGGTCATTGGGTCTATATCTTTTGAAGCCATTTTTCAAGTCAATGTTTCTGGTAGAGTAATGGAAATCTCCAGGTATAGGATGTCATGTTCTATCACTTGTAAGTTTCAGACATCATTATAGTGTAATTTAAGAATGATAATTTAGGGGTTTATTGATGCCACCTCAGATGCAGTGGTAGTATTTTAAATATGCCTAAAAAATTACTGTGTGTGTTTATATGCATGTGTGTTTGTTTATGCATTTGTGAAAGTGGTAATGAGACCTCTAGCTTTCCAGATGCAAGAATACAAAAGGTCCTAAGAGAGCTGCCAAAGTAGCCCATATATCAAAAGTGTTGAGGAATCACTGCAGTAATCCAATGTATTCTCATGATTCAGCTCTCTCATCACAATTTATAGTGCTATTTTAAACTTATGATGCCTCAGGGTCAAGGATTTCTTCGAGAACATCAATATATATTTTATAGACTATAGACAGGTTTTGTAAAGATGACAAAGATGAGCAACTTTTTCACAAAATAAGCTTAGAGAATAAAAAAGAATTGGGCAAAGTTTTCTCGGAAAAAATGACTTTTTTTTTCTATTGGAAAAAAATGTTTGGAATGAATATCAAAGTTAAAGGAAGTGAAGGAAGCCACTCAAAGATCTTAGTCTTCTGTCTTTGTGTTTAATGAATTTCCCTAATGATCTCCCTTGAGCCTCCTATCTACTCTTTAGAAACATAAAAGCTTCAAGCCAGAAGACATTGGTATTGCTGAGACATAATGTGAGAAGTTAAACATCTTGCTTAAATTGGTTCACTTTATCACTCCGTGAGACAAATCCATATTTTTCTGAAATAAAATGGATCAAAAATTATTTTCTTTGCAATATTTTGTTCAAAGGGGGGGGGTGTTCTCTACTGGAATACATGAAATTAGTTAAAAGCAGTGAATGGAACTGGAATATCGAGTCACTTGAGATGTTGGAATGTTAAATTAATGTTCTGGGTGGAATTTTATGGTGAGAAGAAATAGATGGCCATCCTCAATGTGACAGGTAGTGCTTTGGACATGTTGGAATTCACACTAAACACAAATGTAACCTGATAGTATCAGTTCACTTCCACTATATATTGTAATACAGCTAAAAGGCAGCGGTCTGGAAGATTCCACAAACTTTATCTACTTTAGATAATTACCTTCTTACAAAAGTTGCAGGAGGGAGCAAACTCCTTCTGAAAACACCGCACACAGTAATTGCCACTCTCTTTGGAAATCAAAGGTTTAGTTCCTATTGGCTGTCGGCAATGCTCACACACAAAACAGGTTTCATGCCAGTAGTTTCCTTTAAATTCCATTTTGCGGGAACCTGTACCCCAAAAGTAATAGCCTGTTATTATAAATCAAGCATCACTTTATAGCCTGTTAAGCGAAGATATGTCAAATTACTTAACTATTTTAAAGTTAAGGTGATAAATTAATTATCCTTATAAAAATAATGTTTTGTTGGCTTCCAAAATATTTATCTGGGGGAGAGAGCAAAGAATTCAGACATGATGATGGTTATTCACTCTTTCACTGAAAAGTCCTGTGCTTTGGAAGCTACAATTTTGAAATGTGCAGGTGTTATAAGCAGAGACTCCGAGAGGCTGCACATAGTTTAGATAAATTGGGCCATAATCATCCTTACAGGACTATTAGGAATACCAAGAGCACAAACTCATTAAGATTGATGCTGGGCAGTTATGATCTACTAGAAAATATTTGAATCCATAGTAAGAAAATAAGAGAGTTATGTTCTTATGCTGCTGTCTGTACAGATTGAGAAGAGGCTCAAAATCAAAGAGAATTAGTGCTTGCCTAAAAGTGTAATGATTACATGGATCCTTGTCTTCCTTAAGAGAGAACAAAACTGCCACTGGTTAAATCTAGGACAGGGCATGTAATGCAATGTTAGCATTATTGGTATAGATTCTATCTTTAATCTACGGCTCACATTCTCATTCAAAATGTTCTATGACCTAGGTTTAGTTTTCCCATTCAAGACAGAAATAATAATGACTTATTTCTACAGTACACTAAGTGAGATCAAGGGATAGCAGGAAAGGTATTTTTCTCAGAAGCATGTTTTTGTTGTTAACTAGTATACTCTTCTGTGCTTGGGCTTAGTTGAAAGCACGGTGACTTCGGTTAGTGACCAGCACTCCCCATTGATCTTACCAGGCATGATGGTCTTCTTGCAGTGGAAGCACTTGGAGGAGCACTCATCAGAATAACACTCAGAGCATAGCAGGCGCTCATCCTTGGCAGCAAAAGGCTTTTCCACCAAAGAGTGATTGCATTTGGCACAGTTGAAGCATATTTCATGCCAGTGCCGGCCTTTGTAACAAAGATCCTCGGAGACAGTGAATAAAAGTTAATTAAATGCGCTTCAACAAAACAAGACGTTTTATAAGACAAAACTAAACACTCCTGGGACTCTGGTGCCAGTAGGTTGTGTTGGTAGCTTGAGGGAAAGTTGTTATTGATACAATTACCCATTGAGAGGAGATTGGGGCAATTAAGAGTTAGAGCCTGGGACTTCATTGGTTGGAAAATAAGTGGAGACTCTCCTATTTCTTCAAATTTCCTCTACCTTCCTTTTATAAACAAGAGAGGCTTGTCATGGAATAATCTTTACTTTTATTTTATTTTTAAATATTTTTATTGTTCTTTAGAGAGAGAAGAAGGGAGAAAAAGAGAAACATCAATGTGAGAGTGAAACACTGTTCACTGCTGCACACCCCCTACCAGAGATCAAGACCAAAACCTGGGCATGTGCCTTGATCTGGAATCAAACCAGCAACCTCTCAGTGCATAGACGACGCCCAACCATTGACCTACACTGGCTGGAGACAGTCTTTACTTTTAGGATGTTATATCTCACTAGAGGCCCAATGCACAAAATTCGTGCAAGAGTAGGCCTTCCTTCCCGGGGCTGCCAGCACTGGCGTCCCTCTGGCACATGGACCCGGCTTCCCTCGCAGTCCCAGCTTCATCTGGAAGAATGCCTGGCCTAATTAGCATATTATGATTTTATTATTATAATTTATAATATTATTTGAGACTTGACTAAACAAAATCTCAACACCACCTAGATAAAATAAAGGCAAAATAATAGAAAAAGAAAAAATGCAATAATTTGCTTTTTAGGAGGAATGAGCTTCATGTGAGAAAGGCATTGGCACACAATGGGTGTGGAGATGAGACTGAGATGAAGCTGGAAAATAGATTCTTGAATCTTTATACATCCTATTATCTATATGTTTATTCATTTATACTCTTTTGATTTCAGAAATAACACATTTTATTGGTGTAACTTTAGACAAATAGCCTCTTTAACATTTGGCATCCTAAACTATCTCCTAAAATCATTGCAAGGATTAAAGTATATGTTATATTTAATAGTGCTAAGCATGGTGCCTGGAACTTGGTTGATGGTAACTTTGAAGATCCTTATACCTCGCAGTAGAGCAGTAGAGTATTAACAGTTAACTAAAGGAAAAAGAAGCATTCCAAAGCATTTGTCTGCTCATATGCAATAATTCTGTGAATTGACGGAAGAACCTACCTTGGAGCCTGATTCAATTGCCTCTTTGCACTCCTCACAATAGTTACAAAAGACACGATCATAACATTTGAGGCAGTATGGATTGCCATCCTTCAGCATAAATTTCTTCCCAAGAAGTGACACTGAGCAGTATTGACAGTCAAATTGAGAAGCTGTCATTTTGCTTCAATCCTGTAAATAAGAAAATGATCCATGTATATAAAAGCAAATTTTGTTGATGGGAGAGATTGTAAAGCCTCCACACAATGTGAGTGAAGCACTGAGGTGAATTTGTGTTTTCCGAAGAGAAAATTCACCAATTCAGGAGTATGTGCGGTAGCCGTGCTGACATGGAGGGGTGTGGGAAAGGCTACTCTCCGATCCTGGCAGCTCCTGTGTGTTTTGCTAACAAAGTGCATCACGTGGGCAGCCAGTTTGTGGAAAACCTCTTGCACTCATCATTCACTCAAGGTGGAATTCAATGAGAATGTGCTATGTGTTGAAATAGGATGGTTCCACCTCAGGGATATAAATAGAAACTGTTGATAGGGCTTTCGCTAGCTGTCATCACTTACTTTTTTTTTGTTGGAGAGGTCGGGAGGCAGAAACAGTGGAAATAAGAAGTCTTTTTTACTCACACTGCAATAGAAGTCATTAATCAAGTACAGGACATTTTCTAGGCCATTCTTTTAGTTCTTAAATCTTTGTTGGGTACCTAATGATTTGGATACATTAGTCCTAAGATCTTCCTGTACCATATATTCTCCTTTGGGACATGCTTCCTACTTGTGGCTTCAAATATTCCATTGACTCCAAAATCTATAGTTTTAGCCTGTTTATGACTTGCTTCCATCTCAATTAAGTGGCCCACCCCAATACCAAGATGACCAAATAAAACTCCTCAGCTGGGAGGATGCAGTCCAAGCACCATGTCTTTGTAACTGCGGTTGAGCAGTTGCTCAGATGCGGAAGTGCAGATAAAAGCATCAATGATAGAAAGAGCCATAGCCTTCTTTAGACTTTAGGGCTAAACTAACATGTATACAGAACAAATAGCAGTGCAGCATCTTACAGGATGAAACACTGATATGAAATATAAAGCCAAAGCCAGAATAATAATTTGAGTTATTTTATAAATCTAAGAAAACATTAAAGAACAAAACCTGGAGATGTCAAAAGATGTAATTAGGCATTGTACATGTGTGTTTCATTGTCATCGAAAGCAGTAGCACCGATTTTATTCTTAAGTGAGATTTGTCATTTCTGGATTTACTAGATTAAGAGCTATGAATAGTTTTTAAATTTTCACCTCAATTTTTTTTTTAATTTTAGCTAAATCAGAAAGTAAATTAATTAGTATAATGCGTTTTACAGTATCATATATGCTAGTTTTTATTTTTTTTTATTTTTTTATTTTTATTTTTTTTTTTTTAAATATATTTTATTGATTTTGTACAGAGAGGAAGGGAGAGAGAGAGAGAGTTAGAAACATCGATGAGAGAGAGTCATCGATCAGCTGCCTCTTGCACACCCCCTACTGGGGATATGCCCGCAACCAAAGTACGTGCCCTTGACCGGAATCGAACCTGGGTCCCTTCAGTCCCCAAGCCGATGCTCTATCCATTGAGCCAAACCGGTTTCGGCCATATATGCTAGTTTTTACTTGCTACATTTAAATTGTATTCCCACACATTTTGCCTTCTTTCATTTTAATGATGACCTTTCCAGCAGAGTGTCTTTCTGCTTATCCATTGATTCTGTATATAGTAGTTTTGCTATAGTGTTATTTACTAATAGAGGAAACACCGAGGATTTGGAACAAGTGAGTCTTTCCCCAAGGAATATGAAAATTCAGACTAGGAAGTTCCCAATGGAACATCCCAAAATTATCTATCTGCAAGGAACATTGAATTCTGTATTTAATTAATTTCCCAGAAATGTCCTTTCCTCTTGAGTACAAGTATATTCAATGTGTTACTGAGGGAGTGGAGACAGTAGGAAATAGAGCTGATTCCCTTGAAACACTTTAACATGCAAGTTTTATTCTCATTCACAGTGATGAAGTGTTTATCTCTTAGTGTTTAATAGTGAAATAGGGCATATACTTCTAACTTTTATCACTTAATATGAAAAATGTCATTTTCATCATGATACATATTTAACCTTTGATGTATAGAATAGCACCCTGAAGCATAGCCCCTTAGAACTGGGAACTCCCAAAGTACTTCCACTTTGCAAGGCTTTTTAGTATGTTATAAAATGAAGAAACAACAAAAAAGATTACAAAATTGGTAAATAGTTTGAAATATATAGGAAGTGTTTAATTTCTTAAGTCAAATTGTAATTTCTTATCCTTTACATATATTAGAGACATTGTTTTCTACATGTCATGTTTTAATTTCTACAGAGTTTTTAAAATAAGAGGATGATAAATAAGTAGAAGTAATATGTCCTTTCTTTTTGTTTATCAACAGAGAAATAATCCAGATGGGCGTAGCATAAACAGGGAAGCGTTTTGGTAGGCATTGAAGTTGTCCAGACAAGGAAGATCCAGGATGCTATAGGCTGATGCAAAGGGTAGACTGCTGAGGGGAACCATTTGAGATACAAGAGAGGGGAGGAAACAATAAAGTTCTCCCTCTCTGTCTCTCAGTACTCAGTTACCATGGGAATGTGCAAAGCAAGGACATGGTTCCAATATACATGAGCTTCATACATGAGCATTGCACAAGTTAAAAACAACCTGTACATGTCCTGTTACTTTCCTGCCATAGATTGCAAGTTTCAAAAATGAGAGGACTCACCGAAACTGGTTTGGCTCAATGGATAGAGCTTCAGCTTGGGGACTGAAGGGTCCAGGGTTTGATTTCGGTCAAGGGCATGTACCTTGGTTGCAGGCATATCCCCAGTAGGGGGTGTGTAGGAGGCAGCTGATCGATGACTCTCTCTCATCGATGTTTCTAACTCTCTATCTCTCTCCTTTCCTATCTGTACAAAATCAATACAATATATTTTTTTAAAAATGAGAGGACTCTACCATCTTATGATGGAGTTGAAATGTACTAGATGATAATGTGGGCATTCTGATTTCCAGTGTGTTTATGTGAATGTGCTTTAGAGGAATTTTATTTACTTGAAGGAATTAAATGACCATAAACCCTTTATTGTAAATATCAATTATAAATTACTACATTGATTACAGCCTTTTCCCATTAAGGCAGATAATACTATGTAACATCACATTGTTTACATGTATTAAAATAGAGGATATACAGTGAGTGATAACTAAGATTACTTCTATCTCTGTAAGTTTTGCTAAGTAGATGCAAGTGACGCCATAACCACTACTTTTGCACATATGCCCAAGGGCACTGTTCTGCACAGTTTGACTTCCGGCTTAATTTTCATCTGGTTACTCACAGTAGCCTCACTCTGCCTGCATTAGTACAGCTCTGCTCTTCTGAAAGTGCCACAGGACTATTTCAATTGCCCATTCAGGTCTTTCCTTGATTTTGTAAAGCAAATTTGATTCTGTTTTTCTTCAGGAAAGAACTTGAAAGAATTTAAGTATAAATGGCATATACTTAAATGGAATAATAAGTTGCTCTTGGGAAATGTTACTGCAAAATGTTGAAGTCTTTGAAACATATCTGACTGATAGACCAAACTTGAATGGAGACAGACTCTGGATGCAGAATCTTAATTTGAACTATACTTAACTGAATTTACCTGTAGTCATTTTCCCATTCAGGATTATAATTAGGATTGCTGCTCTGAGAGGGTTGATGGCCAGTCAAGAGCATTTTGGAAGCCTCACTGAACAAGGTATTGTGCTCTATGCTTTATACAGAATTACAGAAACCATTGATAGTGCTTAGTTATCCAAGCCAGGCATTAATTACCCTTACCCAGAAGTTTTGACTTCAGTTAAAGACATTAGTACATTATTAAAATGTTTTTAAGTGTTTTCCCCTAAGGCAGTGGTCGGCAAACTTATTAGTCAACAGAGCGGCAAACCGCGACTCACAAGCTGCATGTGGCTCGCCAGCCGCAGTTTGCCGACCACTGGCCTAGTCTCCTCAGGTAACTGTTCCATCATTCTCTTCTCTTCCTTCACTGCCTGCACCCTTACATGTTTATTGGATATTGCATATCCTATTGATTCCACTTAAGAAGCATTCCTTAAATCTTTTCTTTTTTTTATCTTAACATTTATTATTGATTTCAGAGAAGAAGGGAGAGAGAGATGTAGAAACATCAATGATGAGAAAGAACCATTGATCAGCTGCTTCCTTCATGTCCCACACTTGGGATCAAGCTTAAAACTCAGGCATGTACCCTGACTGGAAATCGAACTGTGACCTCCTGGTTCGTAGGTCCATGCTCAGCCACTGAGCCACGCCAGCAAGGCAACACACTTAAATCTTAATTTAGACTCTTCACATATCTCTGATGGATTACAGTAGCTTATATCAAGCTGAAGATATTATTAAAGATGTCTTACTCTCTGGAGTGGAACCAAGCACATTACTATTATACATGACTTCTGTTCTCTGATGATAAGCTCAATATCCCCAGGGAGTTCCAGAATGTCCTCCACAATGCTCAAGAAAAATCTTTCTCAGACTCATTTGGTCTCTTTTCCCTGATGGAAAATCTCCCAATGGCTCTTCTTTGTGTAAGTCTAAACCCTATTACTTAGCTTAAAAACCCTATTTTAGCTTTTCTCTTTTTCCTACTATTTCTCTATCCCTTTCCTAACCCTACACTGTGCAACACATTCACACACCCCACCTATGCTTTAGCCACTTCTCATGATTTCTTATTCTTTAAAAACATTATGTCTTTTCATGCTTTTGAGCCTTCCCACATGACTTTTCTTTGATCTCTAATGCCCTCCTCCTTGTCCTCCACTGAGTTTGTCCACTTGATGATTTTCCTCATTAGTCAAAGTCCAGTTAAAAATCCTTCTCTCAGTAACTTTCTCATATCTCGCAGGATGAAGTAGCTGTTCTCATTAGTTCATACAGATGCCCGTTTTCTCTTGCACCAGGCTTTGTGTTAGTTGCTTTGCCCTGTGTGTGTCTTCCTCACTTGTTAGCTCCTCTAGAGCAGTCTTTCCTAAAGTGTGGTACGTGTACCCCCAGTGGTTCAAGAAGAGTTTGGTGGGAGTACGCCTTGCACCAGAACTT